TAATTTTATCCTACATGTGTTAACTTAGTGGAGTAGATAGCTTGTCTATAGTACTAGTTAAGGCTTGTTCATCACAAAACACCTAGATCAAGCTTATTCACCAGTTTAAGTGGCATACCATAATAGTATAATTGAGAGAATTTTCCTTGAGATCAGTTGCACCACCCATACACAAAACCCTATCCTTGCTTTGCTGACGCCTTCAGATGAGCAAACTGATAGAAGTGTTTGTGTCATATTCCTAATTTGTTTTTTTGCTTTTGCGTTTAGCCCTTGCCTCTTGAAAAAATTAACAATGAATGGTTTTTGGGAAGAGACTTTGTTTAAAGCTAAATTGTCAACTAATTTTTGAGTTTCTCAAGGGTAGGAGGATACTTCTTATTTGTTTTTAAGTAATTACTATTTGCTTTATTATATTTTTGTTCTTTTTTAATACTAAGACATAGGGGAAAAAAAGCACAAATTATCCAGCTACTCAGATGATCTTGTTCACATAAAAAGAAAATACACAAAAAAATTCAAACGATATATAATAGTATTAACTCCTTCTGATCTGACCCCTGTCCCTGCCCATCTGCGGGTCCTCAGACTCTCTCCTCAGGGGTAACAAGAGTTAAATTTTTTTTGTCTGCCTTTCAAAAATTCTTATAAATATTTGAGCCTATCATTTTAATATTCTTTGTGCGTAGCCCAGAGTAGGTGTATTTGTCAGCTTTTGCTAGGTTATGGTACCATAGCAACACTGTCAAATTTCAGTGGCTTACAACACTGGTTTATTTTTGTTTACGTTACATTTTGTTAGCTGTAGATTGGCTGCAGCATTTTTGGAACCCAGTCTGAAGGAGCAGGCCCTGCCTGGGACATGAGATTATTGTGGCAGAGGGAGAAAGCAGGAAAACTGATGCAAACATGTGATGACTCTTGAAGCTTCCACTTGGTCATGGTGTACATCGCATCACTCATGTGTCATTGGCCAAAGCAAGTCATATGGTCAAGCTCATTGTCAGTGAGTGAGGGATGTCTACTTCTCCCACAGGTGGCATTACGAGTCACACGATAATGGACAATGGGTAACGCTGTATAATCCTCTTAAGGAAGGAAAGGGGAGCGTGAATAATTAGGAACAATAATATAGTGTACCACAGGAATTGCTCAATAAATACTTGTTAAATGGGTTGTTTTGGATCTGTGGAAAAAAAATTTTTGATGAAATATTTCAAACATATACAGAAGTATAGAGAATACTATGATGAACCTCCATGTTCTCATCATTAGCTTCAGTAATTAGCAGTGTGCAGACAGTCTTGGTTTATGTTTCCTTGTCCTGCTTCTCCACTGGATTATTTTGAAGCAGTGTCTGTATATCATAATTTCACCCATAAATGTTTCACTAAGTAGCTCTGAAAGATAAGGTCTCAAAGTGTGACTTCTTTTAGTAAATTCTTACTGTCTAATAGTTTGAGCTAATATACTGTGGGCTGACAGGTGTCAGGTAGGAAAGGATGTTCCTGGAGTGTATCTAGAATTTGACAGCCAGAAACTTGTTTTGATTTCATTTCGAGTATTTCTGGAGGAGGCTTACAACAGAATGTCGTCTATTTTTCCCAGCACCTCCTTTTCTCCACTTTAGGGTGGGGAGGTGTGTGTGTGTCTGTGTGTCTAGCGAAAGCAGGTAATTAACCGCTGGAAAAAATAACATTGTAACAGATTTGATTTGCAGGAGGTTTCATTTCTCACTGAGCCTCTGTTGAAATGACGCCAATTGAAAGGAATCCCAGCCCTTAATGGCTCCAAGTCTTCTGGGAGTTCCCAGTCAGTGATGTTATTTACTCTAGAGAAGATCATCAGATTCGTTTATAAAAGTCCTCTACTGACCCATGCTATTTGCAATGCAGAGAAAGGCCCTATCAAGTCTTTAAGGGGATCTTTAATATGATATAAAAGTAAGGAAGTGAGCCTGTCTAATTTTAGTTTAGAAATAATTAAAACCACTTTCAACTGCTCAGGCTAGCTCATCTGAGAGCTTTAAAAGCCTCCATTTTGACTTAAGACTTCACAGATTTTATTAGCATTCAGTGTAATACAATAAGTTTACTTGTCATTCTGTGGCTATAGGGAGTAATAGACATTACCTTATGGATCTAGGATCATCAGTTTCACAGGACGTTCTTTGGGGAGGGAGTGTTATGTAATCAACAGGAGAAAGCAAATTAAATAGACGTAATCCCTTCAGTTTGTAGATTGGCATGAGACAGTGCGGTAATCAAAGAGGATTTATACAGGCTAGTGAATAAATTATTGCATGTAATATGATGAAAATAGTGTATTTTAGTATAGTACTACATCTAATTTTATTTTCTTAACTGGCTTCTTTCACTGTGCATAGAGGCACTTAGATTAACGTGGTCTTTCTAAGTATCCAGGTAATTTTAGTTTTCTTTAATTAAGTTATACATATTGTTGATATTTCAGAATCCATGTAGTAACCGCAGTAGTAAAATGGCTGTCGTTGGCTTGCAAATAAAGTTTTTATTTAAATTTGAATTTTTCTTGGCATTGAATTGATTCTGGCTTTGGTTGCTTGGGACAATATAGTCTATTTAAAATGTAAATGAATAGCCAGTTTTTTCCCTATGGAGAATAACTCTTTGATTTACCATTGTTCATGTTATTTTTCTGTTGTATCACAATTGAAAAACATTTGTTTTCAGAGATAACAGAGATAGTACGTTTGTCAGAATAATATACCTGTACTTTGGTGGCATTTTAGTTGCAATTGTTAGTTATACAATTTGGGGAAAGGTTTGTGGTTTCTAGTTACTGTATTTACCCAGAAGCTCTGCATGATCAGAATTCTTGAGACAGTGTTAAAGGTAAATTGGGTGTGTTGCCTGGATGTGACAAGCGAAAAAAGAGAAGCTTTTCACCATCTGATTATTGCTTAAAGGAATACAAGGTGCAGTTCTGTTTCCAAAAATAGGAATTAAGAGAAATATTATGTGGATAAATATTAGTAATTATGTTAATTTTGACTCCCCTGGCAGAATTCTTTTTGAGACTATCCTCTTTGTCAGAGATAAAACGTAGCTTTTAAAGGAAAAGAGAATTTCAGCTGTTAATTTTATATATATATTTTTTACTTTTATTTTTTAGCTTTTGTAAGAGAAGAGCCATAGAAGGGACCTGAATGAGGAATTTGTAGAGAAGAGACTCTGGGTTTTGGTTGTGTCCTGCTACGTACTGGCTGGGAGACCTTAGGCAAATTTACCTCTCTGAATGCCAGTTTAGTTTTCTCATCTGTAAAAGTGGGAATAATAGTACTTACTTTTCAGAGTTGTCATGAAGATTAAGTGAGAATGTATTTAATTACCTAGCATATAAGAGGTCATTAAGTTATAATAGCTGTTATTGTTTAAACCTCAGAAATTAGTTAGGTTTTCCTAAAACTTTGATCTGTGCATATGAAATGATTTTGAATTCATGTGTATTTGCTGCTGCTGCTGCTGCGACACTTTTTTCCTGCAGTGATCGTATTTTTATCCTATATATTTCAAATTATAGGCTGTTTTTAGAATTAAGATACATTTGAAATTAGGAGTAGACTGAAGAGTGACTAAAGAGTTATTTCAGTTCAGACTGTGAAACAGTAACATCTCTGGTTGCAGAATTGATAAGATTTTTAGGATTGGTAATCAACTTTTAAATCTGCCTTTGGTGACTCAGAATTCATCCAGCTCTATCTTTACAACATTAGTTCATTTGTTTGTGCATTTATTCAGTAAATATTAAATGCCTGCTCTGTGTAGGTCATTGTGTTGACAAATTTATTTTGGGCTCTTGCTTTCCTGCTCATTTATATTTAAGAATTAAGAAATTTACCTGTAAGAGTGATATTCATTGATTAGTACTGAAGGTTAGGGTGAGAAGTCCTGTGTATTTTGGGGAAGTGGTTGTATGAAATCATGATTAACGATTACATTTATCTTCCAAATTGCAAAAATTAATGTTACTTCCTGTAACATACTGTTCTTCTATATTTCCTTTTTATTTTTCAGTTTAATTATATTTTGGTGAGTTACCTAAACTAAAGTGAAAAGGACATGGTATAAGTTGAAATTTAAGAAGCTTTAGTTGTTCATTGCATTTGAATGGAAGAAATCGCATTTTATCAATTTGGCATTGCTTTAGTCTCTACTTGAAGGAGAGCGTCTACTCCTTAGCTACTTCTTTGGAGGTATTAGCAACCCCTTAAGCCTAAACTTTGTGCATCCAGTGATAAATATAGTGACGATTTGATCAGTGAAGGGTTCTGGAAACTACGGTAGTTTGGTTAGCAAGACAGTGCCTAAATCATGATGACTTGTTGCTCTACTATTTTACATTTTAGCAACGTGGCAAGATGAATGTATGTGAAACTGAGCATTTTAAAATAGATGAAATTTAGTCTTATAAAGAAATTGGGATGTGGTAAAGGATTTTATGTTTATTGAGTACATACTAAGTGCGGGGCACTGTCCTAGGTCCTTTGTGTGCATTGCCTTTTTAATCTTCTCAGCTATGTAAGTTAAACATTACCATCCCCATTTTAAAACAGAAAAATGAGGTTTTAAGACATTTCCTAATTTGCACAAGGTCACGTAGTTTCTAAACAGAAGAGTTGGGATTATGACTCCAGTACCCATTTTCTCTTGGCCTGTTGAGATTGGCTCACTTGGATCAGTTAATTGATCTTTTGAATTGGTTGAATGAAACCCAGGAAGTGGATTTCATCTTCAACACCATTAAAGTGTTGTCTTCATAATATAATTTCATAACTATGTTTTATTCTTTCTACTCTTTTTTTTTTTTGAGGAAAATTAGCCCTGAGCTAACTGCTGCCAGTCCTCCTCTTTTTTTGCTGAGGAAGCCTGGCCCTGAGCTAACATCCGTGCCCATCTTCCTCTACTTTCTATGTGGGATGCCTACCACAGCATGGCTGGCCAAGTGGTGCCGTGTCCACACTGGGGATCCGAACCAGCGAACCCCGGGCTCCCGAGAAGCGGAATGTGCGCACTTAACCACTGCGCCACTGGGTCAGCCCTAGTCTTTCCACTCGTAATCAGCTGTTTACCTGTTCCCTTTTCTAGATTTCTGACATGACGGATTTTGTCTCATTTCCTCTAAAGAATGACTACATTGTGTTTTGGTTTCTTATTCATTGCTTTAAATGTACACACATTTGTAAACTTTGGACTTTTTAAAAAATTTATTGGGGTCGTATTGGCTTATAACATCGTGTAATTTCATGTGTACATTATTATATATCAGTTTCTGTATAGTCTGCATTGTGCTCACCACCAACATTGGAGACTTTTTTGAAGCCTGATGTATGTTGCTTATAAATCATTTTCCATTGTAACTATTCTGAGGTTCTTTTAGGAAGTTTAAGGCTCATCTAATAGAAGTTTTGTGGTTTATTATTTTTTTTTCTATTATAGGCACAGAAAGCAGTTAAGTGACTTAAAAAAATGTTATCTGAGTATGTAAGAGGAAGGAAAGGCAGCAGATGAGTGATTTTAATAGTAGGTGATCAGGCCTTTGTGAAGCATAAATGATTTAAGCAAATTGGGTTTGTTTTTTCTTACCAAGAGTCTATGTTTGGTTAAGTGGCAGTGGAGATAATATTTTCTTTTTAAAGATTTCTTGTTATAGTAGTGCCCTTCCCTTCTTTATCGTTGTTTTTATTTTCTACCACTTAAAGAAATAAGTAATTATTCCTTTTATTCTAGCTCTAGATTCATCTTCTGAGCAATAAAACATTGTTACTTTTAATCGTTATTTCTTCCTTGTGAATGATTTTTTTTTCTGTTGCTGAAATTCTGTGATGGATCATTTTGGTCTGATGGATCATTTTGGTTTGGCCACTTTTTGTACGATAACATTGGGAAGAAAATTTGCTTAAGAGATATTTAAGTGTGTTATTTTTTAACCTAATCCTTTTTAACCATAAATTGTTTTCTTACATTTTCATAATAACCCTACAGAATCTAGAACGAAAGTAGGCAGATAGTTGGTTTAAAAAATAAGCCCACAAAGTAAATCTTTTATTGAATAAGTACTGTTTCTAGGTGGAGAAAGACTAGAGAATTATAATTTGAGAATTTTACTAGGTTTAAGATTTAGAAAGAGGCTGCATACAGAGAGGCAGTGCCCTTTGAAGCATTCTGATGGATGCAGAGACTTCATAGCCCTTAGGGAGATCTACAGACATCCGCTATGCTGAGTTCTGGGAAGCTGCTTTTTCCCATGCTTGCAGCCTCCCTGTGGGGTAAAGGTCTGTTAATTTTGCATAAATATTTACCATATCATTTTAGCTACCATTGCTTCCTCACGCTGTTAGCAATAAGGAAACCTTTGCTTATCCAGCTTTAAAAGTTTACAGTTGATCGATATGGCTAGTCTGGAGAATGTTCTGTCATCTTTGAGCACTGATGAAGTTAAAAAGTCAGATTGGGAAAAATGAGGAGGTAAACGTTCAATTCACAGTCCATAAATAATCTTATTATAGAAATATTTGCCCATGCTTATTTTGCTATTTAGAAATGAGAAGGTTATTACCACACAAACAGTGTAATTCAAGTCTTGTCTTATCTAACAAGCCAAATTATTGTGACTTTCATATATTTATTTGTATGATACTAGTAGTAATTTACATTAGCATTTACTGTACTTTTACAACTGTTTCCGTATTTAGTAACAATAAACAGCATTCATTTATGAAGCATCATTCTAGATGCGTTATAGGTATTATATTTAAGACGTAACAAATACTACGAGGCCATGTTATTCTCATTTTGCAGATGAGGAAAAACTTAGATTCAGAGACGTTCTTTGACTAGTCTAGTATTTCCCAGCTAGTACATTTTTGGAACCAGGTTTAAAATCCAGGTTTTTGGACTCTTGGTTCATTGCTTTTACTACTGCACATAGTTTTGGGTAGCTGTCATTTCTGTGAAGCTAAAATCCAAAAACAAATAGTATAAAGTATAAAATTCAAATGAGAAGGTTCAGCCAAAGAAGGTTATTTATTTAGTCTCCTGTCTTTTAATGTAAATTATAGCAGCAAGTTCTAAATTGAGTTTCAGAGAACATCCAGGACACTTTAATAGGAATGTAGTTTATTGTTCAGCGTAATTGTTTTACAAGCTCACATTGTCTCAGGCACTGAAGGCAAAAGGTAGAATGTAAAATGGTATTAACATGTAATCCCCAAACTTTTATTTTGTTATTTTTAAAAGATCTAATTTATTATATAAAAAATTCACCAATCCATTTTATTAGTCAAAAACAGTCCAATATTTGTAGTTCCATATGATTTATCTTAGGAACTTTCTGTCTGTATGACTACATCTTAGATCTTCTCATTGCCTAGAAGAGTTCTACTTTCAAATTTTTGTGTTTTTCTCTCTCTTAGCTTCTACTTCTCCCCTATACCATCTTGCATGTACTTTTTGCCTTCCTTGTCATCACCAGGCTTCTTATCTCTTATTTGACCCCATCTAGAACCTGTGCTCTTCCTCAACCTTTTATTTATTTTTGGTTGAGTCCTTTTGACATTCCCTGCCATTTTCTGACCACATATTGGATGCCCAATAGGCTTCCTGGATTACTCATTATTCTTTAGAGTAGGCTTGCAAAAGTTATTTCAAACATGATGCCTTCTATTTTGACCTTTTTCAGCTTTTCTTTACCTACTCGAGAAGTAGTAACTGAAGCATTAATCTCTCTATCCAAAATACATTTATTGAGTGAAAGTTATGTAGCAGGCACTGTAATATTTTGTACATACGTATTATTATACTTATTCCTCACAATGACCCTGTGAGGTAATGGGTTTTCTTATATGATCTCCATTTTACAGGTAAGTAACAGAAGCTCAGAAAGTTTAACTACCATGCCTAGTGAGTGGTAAAATTGGGATTTTAGTCTGAGTGTGTCTGACTTCCCAGCCTGCGCTGTTAAACACTATACTGTATTGCCAGATATAGTCACCATTGAAACTGGTACTATTTCTGCCTTTTAGGAACTTCTAGTCTAATAGAGACATGTAGGCAGCTAAGTGCACAGGCACAGTGGGGACTCGAGAAGAATCAATACTTTCTGGATAAATCAGAAACAGCTTCATAGAGGAGATGAATACTTCCAGTGAATCCTGAAATATAGGATGCACTTACCAGACAGGTAAGGGATGGAAAAGCGTTTCAGGTAGAAGTAGCAATGTGAAGAATGCCACAGAGGTGAAATAGCTCATGTTTTCTAGGAACACATATCGTTCAGGGTGATTAGAACCTGGAGGTTGATCATGGGCACAGCAAAAGTTGTAGGGATAGGAGGCACTGAGTTATTTTTATGTCATTCTGAGGACTTTGGCTTTTATCCTCTGCATTGTGGGAAGCCATTGAAGGCCTTTAATCAGAGGAGTAATAGATGATTGTTGTGTTGTAGACAGATCATTTAGGTGGCAGTGTGAAGAATAGATTAGTCTTGAGAAGCAGTTTTAGGAGCAGAGAAACCAGTAGGACATTTTTTAATAATCCAGATGAAAAATAATGAAGTTCTAAACTAAAGTTGTAACAATACATTTAAAAGAGAAGAGAGAAATAGAGCTATTGAGAAGATATTAAGAATACAAGTAGTATGAAAAGGGTAGGTGGTGAAAGAGAGGGCCTTTCTGGCTTGGGTATTTGGGTGGACTTTGGTACTATTCACCAGGATGGGGAACATGAAATAGAGGAGGGATGGTTTTATTTTGGTTTGTTATTTTTATTTGGTCAAATGATCAGATGAAAGATGGAGAAGAGAACAGATGTACGAAGGGACAGATTTGGTTTAAGGTACTATAGTAGTTATCTATTGCTGTGTAATAGATTATCCCAAAATAATTAATAAACTTGCACTGTCCAGCACGCAAGACACATGTGGCTATTTAAATTTAAAGTAGTTAAAATAAAATAAAATTGAAAATTTGATTCTTCAGTCACTCTAACCACAATAGTCCAATAACTCCTGTATTGGACTTTGGACATAGAACATTTTAATCACTTCAAAAAGTTCTGCTGGACAGTGCTGCTAAACATTTATTATCTCATACTGTTTACTGTGATCAGGAATCTGGGAGCAACTTAGTTAGGTGGTTCTGGTTCAGGGTTTCTAATGAGGTTGCAGTAGAGATGTAGTATGGTGCAGTAGATTCTGAAGCAAGGGCTTCAGTCATCTGAGGGCTTGACGGGAGCTGGCAGATCCATTTCCAAGGTGAATCACTCAAATGCTGGGCAAGTGAGTGCTGGTTGTTGGTAGGAGGCCTCAGTTCCTTGCTCCAGGTGGAGCTCTCCATAGGGATGTTTGAGGCAGCTGGCTTTACCCAGATCAAGTGATCATAGAGAGCAAGGTGGAAGTGATGATAACTTTTATGAGCTGACCTCAGAAGTCACACACTCTCATTTTTGTAACATTCTATCACTTCAACAGATCACCTCCCTTTGGTGAGGGAGGAAACTATACAGGGCGTGAATTCCAGGAAGCAAGATTCATTGGGGGTTATTTTAAGGCTGCGCACTACAGGTACCTATGGACTGTCCAGGTGCAAATGTCTAATAGGCAACCTGATGTGTAGGAGTGAGATCTTGGTTATTGCTACTGTGTTGGTGATGGTGGTTGAAGTAATTTGAATAGGTGAGTTCAATAAGAATGAGATTGCTCCAGAAGGATGGCCAGTATGGTATCTTGGGTCACATATTTGGGGGAGCATAGAAGTGCTCTCAAAGGCTGTTGAGAAACAGTTACAGAGAATCAAAGAAATGGTACAGAGGAGTAGGAGGAGTTCCAGGAGAGTACATTGTAAAGGAAACTTCATGAAGGGATAACAGTTGAAAATAGGACGTAATTGACATTGCTAAATGGTACAGAGTTGTCAAGTAAGAGTAAAACTTGAGAGTCATTCTTCCAAAAATTATTTATTGAATAACTCTGCTGGGAACCAGAGAAAGCTATATAGACGAATAAGACAAAGTCTCTAATAAGATATACAGTCTGAGGAGACATGGTTAGGGAGGATTTCTTGGA